AAAATGCAGTAATAGGGAGGTAGACGTAATACTTCATGGCCATTTTGCTGAAGCAGATTGTCAACAACATACTCTTTTTCAAATTTTTGTCTTTTAATAAGATTCAATAATATGACTTTGGTTGATTTTTGTGGTATTTCCATTCCCTTATCCTTCATAAAATCAATAATGTCTTGTTTTTTTGTGCCTGTATTCGGAATTTTGTTTTTCTGTCGGGAATGGTATGGCGCATTGTCCATAATAATCACTGAATTTGGGGAAATGTTTGGTATTAACTGCTGCTCTATCCACTTTTCAAATAAGTCGGAGGTCATGTCCTCATGATAGTCGGCACATGATTCTTTGATATTTTTGGCAGATAACAGCAAGGCATTAGGTATAAATCCATTTTCACTGCCAGCATGGAGAATAATGATTCGTTTTCCACGGTTGCATGGTGCATTTAAAATGCACTTGTTGCTGTCGTCAACCCAGCCGTACTGCACAACATCATGGGTATAATACCACGTTTCATCCAGGTAAATCAGATTTCTTTTCTGCTCTCTATAGATTTTAACTTTGTGCAAAAATTCTTGGCGCAATTCAACGATTCGAGACGACTCCATAATCATCATTCTTTTATCTAATTTTTTGTATTGAAAACCACACAGTTTTACAATACAGTGCAGTGAGTCTAAGCATTTGTAATTATAAAAATCTTCAGGATAATCTTTTAATTTATCCCGTATCATTTCCAACGTGGGCACCAAATTTTCTTTATAAAATCCGTATATTATACGACGAATATCTTCCTGAAAACCCACGTCTATTCTTTTTAATTTTTGCCCTATGCGCTTTCTGTGGAAGGAATGGTTGACTACATCTCCCCTTTTTATAACCCGATAAATGGTAGACCGACTGATTTTTGTCAGGATACAAATTCTGTTTAAAATTTGATTTTGCGAGGAATCTGGATTTTCGTTTTTCAGACAATCATACATATTTAGGATTACTCTTTGGGTCTGTTCTTCTAAACCTTTATGAAAGAATTCTGCCTGCACAGGTTCATCAACCATCTCCTCGTGGCTTGGAGCATTTTCCCAAGGTCTCCAAAGAGCCATATTTAGGACACACAAGAACAATCAACACAACAATTAAATCAACAAGTAAACAGAGTATTCAAAAGTCAAAAACACACAAACTAATAAAATCTATGAAAAACACGGACAGACTAAAGAAAACAGGTTTATTCACCGCTACGCGGCACTGGCTAAACTGTTTCAATTTTCAGTAGCCACCTGCACTTGTTCGGAGCTCTGAAATACACGCTTTCTCATTGGCTATGTGCACGCATAGGCGTGCTTTACTCCACGTGGACCGGTGAAACTGCCTTTGATCTTATTTGCTGCGAAATTTGGCGATTTTTGCAGCAACAGAGCGTGTTAAATATAAATATATAAAACGCACCCGGTATTTCACAGTATTTCAAGTGACTTCAGATAAAGTATACCTCTCAAATTTTGATGAAATTTTTACGCTAAGTCAAAGTAGTTTTCGAAAATCGCACCAGTAGGGGTGAAGATAGAGACAGAAAAACGAAGGAATAAAAATCACTAAACCGTTCCATACGATTCTGATCATTTTGAGAATTTTTATTTTGTGGAAGTGGCAAATTGGCAATTGAGGGTTGTAGGAGGTGGGGCGGGTGTGCATCAACTTTGCTCGAATCCCAAAAATCCTCAAAATTGTACACAAAATCGTGCTAAATATGCAAATTTTAGGGTTCAATCGGAGTCTCAGGGGAGGGCACGTTCATCGGTACCCTCCCAGACTCTCCTGTGAGAGAACATTGCGCGTTGCCAGATGGTCGGTATTGTCGATAGGGTAGGGAGAAATTTTTAAATCACAACGGTGTCAAATGGGACTATGGACTATGGGCCTGTTTGACTGACTCGATCCATTTCATTTCTCTGTTATACATGTCTGTATCTAATTTTTTCTCAGATGAGCTAACCGAACAGGACCTGATGACATTATAATTAAACAATTTCAAACATCTACTTAGAAAATACGTCAATGAATGATTATATGTAAATCATCTACCGACGTGAGAGTCGAAGTGTCGTTTTTCAGTAGCCTGTCTACTGTCTGAATCCGGTACTGAGTACACGCATCCGATTCTGAATGAATGGCTGTTCCATACATTCATAGATGCATGTGTCAGTTGTTGATTTGTTTATTTGTATTTGCATGCACTTTTTCCTCTCTTACTATACCATTAATGTTTTTGCATGGTGCATTACAACAATGTATTTTATTCAAATCAACATCGACGGAAACCATTTGTATTCATATTATCATTCATCTTCCTTTCATTTCTTCCTGCTGCTATTTTAAGCAAAATATACAATAAAGGGTTGTATTTCCATTTTCAGTCATAGGCTGGTGAGAACATACTCTATGTACGAGGTCCGTAAATAATGTGTTGACTGGCAATGTAGCGTTCGATCGATCTGGCAACACTGGAGGCGCCGAGCATGGAGGGGAGACAGGGGAAAATAATAATAATAATAATAATAATAATAATGTGTCTTTAATTTGGATTAAAAGTACAAACAAAAAAAATCATTTGATGAGGGAGGCGGCATTCAACACCGTTGCTCTTCCATGCAACCCCCGTGAATACGAGTAATAATATCCTAAAAGGATAACCTGGCAATTACAGATTAATAACACTGATCAACAGCCAAAAAATATCTTAAATAAAATCAACAAAATATTACTATTTTTCATGTGCTGAAACCGGAATGAAACTTATTTTTTCAATATTAGTTCAAGTTTTAGATATACGTTAATTATATGTGTTCCTGCTGTGACAGTGTTAATATACTGTACTTCACAAGAATGCACGTGCTACATTTTTATATTCGGCAAGGAAAGATGATGTAATCGACATGATGGTGTTACGTTATACATACGTGTACATTATATTGTTTTATATTAGCCATTTTTTCCTCAGTTGGCTGACAGCGTTCATGCAAGATGTCTCGAAAGTGTGTAAACAATCCAGATCAGTTTTGTTACGTGTGTGGTGATGTGACTTTTGCGTCTCAGAGACGGTCTATTACTCCACTAATAACAAAGGTATATCAGCTTTATTTCGGTTGTAAACTAGGTGATCAAGACAAACAGTGGGCACCCCACATCTGCTGTAATACATGTGCTTCATGTCTGAGGAGCTGGTTAAATGGCAAAAAACGGTCTATGCGCTTTGCTGTCCCAATGGTTGGGAGAGAGTCTACAAATCATATTAATGATTGTTACTTTTGCATGGTACCTTGTGTTGGACAAGCCACAGGTATGTCCAAGAAAAAAATCGGTTATTAACTACCCAAACATACCATCTGCGATGAGACCTGTGCCTCACAGTGACGAAAATCCTATTCCAAAACCCCCAGAATCCTACACTTACGAATCAGAAAACGAATCAGATTATACCGAGCACGTCATGCCACCAATCGCACAAAATAACACATTCAGAATTAAATGATCTTGTAAGAGATTTAGAACTTCCAAAATGTAAGGCAGAGTTACTTGGATCAAGACTGCAGCAGTGAAACTTGTTAGAAGACGATGTTTCGGTATGTGTTTTTCGTAAACGCCACAAAGGCTTTTCATTTTTCAATATGGAGAATAACTTGGTTTTCTGCAGTAACATTAACGGCTTACTGGCGGCTTTAAATATAAACTATGACCCAGAAGAATGGAGATTGTTTATAGACAGTTCAACATTGAGTTTAAAGGCAGTGTTATTGCATATTGGAAATACTACACCATCTCTTCCTGTAGGGTATGCAGTTCACATGAAAGAATCATATGACGATATGAAGTACCTATTGACATGCATAAAATACGATGAGCACCAATGGCATATTTGTGGCGATTTGAAAGTTGTTGCACTTTTACTTGGGCTGCAGCTAGGCTACACAAAGTTTTGCTGTTTTTTGTGTGAATGGGACAGTCGGACAACGGCACTTCATTACACCAGACAAAACTGGCCTGTTCGTCAATTCCTAGAGCCAGATCAAAAAAATGTACAGCATATGCCATTAGTAGATTCGAAAAAAATTTTATTACCACCACTGCATATCAAGTTGGGCCTAATGAAAAACTTTGTCAAGGCATTAGATAGAGATGGGTCAGCTTTTCAATACCTGCGTCAGAAATTTACAAGACTAAGTGAGGCAAAAGTTAAAGAAGGTATTTTTGTTGGGCCACAGATTCGAAATATTTTGAAAGATACACAGTTTGAAAACACTTTAACAGGTATTGAAAAAACTGCTTGGAATGATTTCCGTCTGGTGGTCACTAATTTCTTGGGAAATAGAAAAGCTGACAACTATAAAACCCTTGTCAAAAATATGCTGTCATCGTATCAAAAGATGGGCTGTAATATGTCTCTTAAGATACATTTCCTACACTCACACCTGGACTTTTTTCCTGACAATTGCGGAGTCGTGAGTGATGAGCACGGCGAACGTTTTCATCAGGATATTTCAACAATGGAAAAAGGTACCAGGGAAAGTCGAATCCTTCCATGCTTGCAGACTACTGTTGGACTCTTGGTAGAGATGCTCCAGAAACGATCCATAAAAGAACAGCAAAAAGACAGCGCATATAGTGATTCTTATAAGTATATGAATCTTGTTACTTTTTTTAATATATCCTTAAAAATAAAAAGTTTTTTTTCTAAACCGCAACTAATTTTTTTATTTCATTGTCATTTTTGGATTCAGCGCCCCAAAGTTAACAAAGAAGTGCACTTTTCCCACAAGATACAATTAAAAAACTAAAATTTGTTGTCCAGTGTAATAGTTGTAAAATTAATACAAACAGCAAAAATAAAATTATTGTAGTCTTTTCACGTGGGATTTGACTCTATTTCGGAAGCTACTAAGTGAGAGCAATTTTTTACTGTATCTGAGTTGTACATTGTAGATGCAACATAAGTAAATTACTCTTTAAACTGTTCAGTACTATGGAACGAAACATCATAGATATTACAAGTACGAGTTGGCCTATCATGAAGATCCGATCTCCTAACAAGTTTGGCATAGAGGTAAAGTGGTGACTGGAACCTTTGACACGCAGTCTGTTTTTAATTTGCGGGAAAGTAAAGAAATCATTCGGACTTAGATCGGGACTATATGGAGGATGATCTATTAATTCCACGTTTTCTTCCGTTAAATCCTGCTTTGTTTTTTGAGCTGTGTGCAAGCTTGCATTGTCTTGGTGGAGGATGATTCTTCTTTCGGGGTTGATTTTTCGAAGCTCGGTGATGACTTTTGGCAAACAAATGGTAGTATACCAATCCGCAGTAACAGTTCTTTGCTCATCAAGAGGAATTGTTGCAATATGACGCTTTTGACACAAATGTCGCGACCATCTTTTTCGAAACACTTCGAGAACGGATGACCTTTGTTGGCTTTTCTTCACCTTGGAACATCCAAACAGCCGACTGTCGTTTATTTTCAGGTTCATAACAGTAAATCCATGATTCATCACCACTAACAATGCTGTACACATTTTTTGAGTTTCCGGAATTGAAACGGTCAAGCGTTTTTTGACACCAATTAACCCTGGCTGCTTTCTGCTCTTCAGTCAACAGGTGGGGTATCCAACAAGAAACTAATTTTCTTGCTCCTAATTCATCATGTAAAATTTTTTGAATTAAGGTCTTTGAGATCTTCAAGGACGCCTCAATCTCGCGATATGTCACATGATGAGTTTGCGCACAGCATCGACGTTTTCCTGGGTGACTGGCGTTTTTGGTGCACCCACCCTGGGATCGTCGCTAAGACTCACCCGTCCACGTTTGAATTCTCCATACCAACGGGAAATTGTCGTCTGATGTGGCGCTCCGTTGCCGAAAACAGACAGTAACTCAGCACGGCATTCTTGTTGCGATAATTGTCTCTGAAAGTTGTAATAAATTATTGCGCGAAAATGTTCTCGGTTGAGTTCCATTTTTCTAATGACTTGGTGACACTTCAAAATTCCCTGTAGTGAGAACACTGTACATCTTGTTGTGAAACTTTGAATTTAAGTTTACTAAAGAGTGAGGTTAAGATTCAGTACTGACGTTCGATCCGCGCGGCCTACTATGTTTCTATATGCAAAACTTAAAAGACATCTCTCGTAATAATAATAAAAATAATTTATTGATTCTATTACACAGAAATGTGTTTGTACAAGTCAGCTAAAGTATATAACAAAACGACAAGTTTATTGAATTCTTTCCTGCAAGGATCCCTGTACCTCAAGTTTGACATGTTTCATCTCTGTAGGCTAAAAACTCTAGGCATGTGAGGAGAATGACCCCTTGCCAGAATGGCGTAAGTCATTCTACTGTGGAAATACGCATGGCAGCTGGTGAGCAGTGTTTGCTGAGACAGATTCCTTATCAGATAGAAGATTTTGTAATATGATTTAGGTACATGTTCGTCCCACGTCAACGAAGAATCAACGCACACACCGAGAAACTTTACTGCTCTTGTATTGTTATCATTTCTGTCAAAATTCCGTACAGAAACACTCGTTGTCTGAGTTTTGGCTTCATTTAATCTCAGCCCGTTAATAGTAAACCAGTTTTGAATGTCCGCCCTGCACGCTGATGATTCGTTGTCCAGGTTTTCTAAGGTAATTGATACAATATCAGCATACGACAAAGGAGGCAATATCATCAAAAATTATTTTCTACTTTTTAGTCCGGTTAGCTATAAAAGCGAGTTTAGTAGTTTTTTTAAACTATTATTTATTTTTCATTTTTTAGTTCGATTTATCAATTAGTTTTTTGTGGACATGTGGTACTGAAATGTCTTACGAATCATTTCGTAATCTAATCATTTCATTTAAAGCTTCACTGTTGCATGGGGTTTTTCCTTCCTTAGAGCAATCAAGTTCTTCAATCTGAATACCATCTAAACATCTTACACGACTAAGTACTATATAAGCTTGTCCAGCAGCAAATAGTCGCGAGCCTAGATAAATGACTGCATGATCGACTGTACAAAAATTAGCCATCGAAGTTGCACATACCTCCTTCATCTTCTGGCCTCCCAAAATACTGAATTGCAACGTCGCATTAGCGCCTAAGGTGGTTGAGCAAGTAGTGGCGAAATGATATGGACTATAGAAGAGTAGCGTCACTCCGTCATTAAAACAGTCTTTGGCGAGGTGTCTGAAATTACATTGTGGTATACCAAATCTTACATGCAGTTAAACTGTGATGTCTGTGATATAGCAGCTAGTCAGGAGGAAGGTAAACATCCAGGAATGAAGGTCACCTGAAGGTAGTTGACCGCAGAACACTGGATTGTTTTACGTGTTGCGAAACTAGCAGGAAGTGAGGTGCTAATATTTCGATGCTCCGTTAATGATGTAAAGGCGACTATTGTTATTCTAACATATCTGGAATTTGAGACATCCTCGCTTAAGTTGTACCACCACTAAATGCAAAGAATAACTTATGGATTTGTTTAAAAAAGCCACCGTGATTGCCGGAATGTCATCAGTAGGCACTATTAGCTTATGAGGTTTCATTTGCGACTAGACAAACATGGAGGCTTATAAGATCATTCGATAGCGACTCCAAAGACCCACCGTTCTTTTATGCTCTCCTAAAAAGTTGTTAGTTTTAAGTTTCATCGTGCTGGAACTCTTTTTATTGAACAACTAAATTTTTGTGATTCATGACTGGGTTATTATTTGTTATTTAGTTTTGCATTCTACGTCAATGATTATTGCCAAACATTTCCAAAGTAGATCGTTCAAGTATATTGCGAGAAAATAGATGTGATGTTCCATTTCTGTATTTAATTTTATACCCTTCAGTCTACACTATTCATGTTCCCTGAAAAATAAATACGAACATTCAAAAAACAAAGTGATTGTTTTCATCTACACTGAAAAAGCTTTTAGGATGTAAGCACGCAGTTTGGAAAATCTGCTTTCTTTTCTGGTTACTAAGTTTAGCGCTCTTACACTCATTTTCAAACTTGTGACCGAACAATAATCCATTCCAACATCTGTTAGAATCAGTATAGTAGTTACTGATATTGCACAATGTCAAGGAAACCAGAACGACAGGTCGGTTATCGCCAATGGGTGGAACGCTAAAGCACTCTATTTTTCAAGTCTGTTCTCCAGAAAATGCTATTTATCATATATCGTCTAGACAGAAAACATAATAATATGTATTAGCCTGTATAAACTCAATTACTCTATGACATGCCAATCTACGCATTACTCTGTTGAAATCAATAAAATTGTTGTCCAGACATTTTCTTTCTTCTACAACATTATTGCTCTCCAGAACACTCAAACAACAACTGATTATCCATGCTAAATCCACTAAACCTAAGAGTTAAGTAGAAAAATATGACTTTTTTTCTAGCTACTGTCAATGTCTTTGTGAGCCAAAAACACAAAATACAGCTTTTGTCTTTGTCACATTCATAAGAACAAATTACATGGATTACTCTTAAAACCTATTGAAATTTAAAATACTATTTTGTTTACTCAAATGTCTGGTAATATTTTATGACTAAAAACATGATAGTTTCTTTGATTAATGCATTAATTTGTAAATTGAATCAAGAAGGACTTATTCGTTTCTTATTTACTTAGTCGCCGCCGCTCGCTGATTGTAATCCCAATGATATTAGAACAAAGCGCGGAGCTCTTTGTGATAGACCCACAGACCCCACGCCTCTGTTCCTATTCTGGTGTGGGCACAGCGGCGTATTCATGGGAGGGCTTTGGGGCTCCTCGGAGTCTACCCTCCCAAAGCGCAACAGCTCATTACGCTTGTTCTACATATTACAGCATGTTATACCGTCTGTGAAGTGTAGCTACCTGGACTAAACGACCCCCCCCCCCTCTGCTATGCAGTTTTATATCTCCAAGACACCCCTCCCCGCCCCGAGACGGAATTTTCGTGTCACCCTGGATCTTGAGCCTCCCCCCAAATCTTTTTCTGGATAACACCACTGGTTGAGCAATATCTCAATCTACAGGAAACAATTACTATCGCAAAATCGACCACAACAGTGGCTCCTACAAATCATTTTAGGGCACATTTCAAATTTCCGTCATCGGACTAAACAAGGAAGTCACAGATGAATAAAATAAACAAATCATAACTGATCATAATTGTTTGTATTAGCAATGGGAGGATTTCTGGAAAAACAAAAATTCTATATATTTGGTTTCTGCCTAAAGGGGCTGAACCTACCAGTATGTCTACAAAGTAAGAAGCATGTAGACCAGAATGCAGTTTTGTATAGACACAGAAAGTGGCTAAACTACATACTGGTGAAGTACTTTTCAGAGCTAATGAAATTAGTTGCAAGATGGATAAATAGCCAGCGCTAATTTCGTAAACTAAACGTTTTTCATATTGATATTTTAGATGAGAATGTTCAGTTTCCAAACGTGACTATGTTCGGTAGCCTAGCACTTACGGCATGTCTATTCAATACCAAACATCCAACCTACCATGTCAGAATTAATCAAACAACCTGCTTCTCCCTGAATATTGAAATTTGAAAGAAATATTTTGCTATTCACAAGCCTGGAGATATATTACAAATAAAGATGTAATCTGCTTTGAAAATCACACCATATTGGGAATTTAATTAAGCCTACACCTGATCAACAGCAATAACCCACCGCCACTGGAGGCAACCAAGCCACGCGTCTCTATAGAATGCGGTACCTTTTATCTATAATTTATTGCTCGGACATTACCTTCCAGTATCAATCCTGCTTTTTAGACCGTCTTCGGTGCTAATACAACGTAGCAATTCGGTATTTTTGGAGGCCAGAAGATGCAAGAGGTATGTGCAAGTTGGATGGCTCATCTTTGTACAGCCTTGCATTTTGTGGACGGTCGAAGCCCAACAATAGCAGCATTCGTCTTCAGCAGGCATAAAACGGAATGAACATTTGTTGTTAATATTACGATCAGATACATATTCGCTTGCAGCAACGCCAGATGAGATACCACTGGAAGGAACGTCATCAATAAAGAAATTGTTAAGTTCATCTGGGTCGAACTGCAAACCACTAACGACAGAGGGAACATGTAATCCGCTTTCAGTACACGTTCGAGTCATTTGGTTGTCCGTAGACGTCTTTATTTATCCACAATTACATTGTAGTAGCCAAATGTCAGACTTACATGGCGAAGTTTAGCATGCTGCTACTCTTACACTTAACCATATAGTCTCTAGCAGATGTTCAAAAGAATACACTATCCACAAACAGATTTGGTTCATTACATCGAAAGTAAAATTTAAAAAAGAGAAAAAGGCATACTTTCCAAACCCAAATGCACCAAAAAATTATTAATCTGAATTAAAGATGAAATTACGTAAATTATATGTTTGGAGGGTTGAGTAATAATGTTTTAACTTTTTGTCGAAAGACAGGTAATGAAAATTCTTTATATACTTTAGGAAGGTCATTATAAATAATAGCAACATTGTAAGAAAAACTGTGTAGACGTATGCAGGGGTATTCTAATATTATTTTCTCTGAGAGTTCTACAGTGAACATCATTATTAAATGAAATTTTTTCCTTCAAGTAATAAGGTTTAGACGTGAGTAGCAATTTGTGAACAAAAACTGAATAGTGATACTTGACCATGTCATTAATTTTTAACCAGTTTAGAACGGGATATTTCGCTGATACATGATCAAATTTACGTAAACCAAAAATGAATCGTATACAATTGTTTTGAATAACTTGAATAACGTTTTTAGTGAAATTGTCTAAACAAGTATAGTATACGATATTACAATAATTTAGTATAGATATGACCAATGCTTCACATAGTTTTTTACGCAACTCAAAATTTAGTAAATACCTGTTTGCTATAAGAGTGCGCAGCCGTAGGTAGGTTTTCTGAGACAGACTTTTAACATGTTCAATAAACCTTAATTTTGTATCAAAAACAACACCAAGAATTTTTGC